AAGGATCGCCGGAGCCCGGCAGGTCGAGACTGCGGTGGCCGGGAGCGGCCACTGCACTCCGGTCTGGGTGACAGAGTGAGACTCCAACTCAAAAATGATAATAATAATAATAAAATAAAAATAAATAAAACTGTGGGACGGTGTGGCAAAGAGCTAGACTCCAGAGGCCGTTCACGAGACGAAAGCAGGAACCAGAAGCAGACCAGGGTGGGGAAGGGGCAGAGGCCCCCGTTGGGAGGCTCCCCAGCCCTCAGCCCAGAAGCAGGGGAAGGGACAGGATGGCCCCAGCCCTGAGGGGGGGGCGGCAGACCCTGTGTCTGAGTCATCATCAAGGTCGCCACCAGGGGGCGGAATTGCTCAACGTACGTTTTAAATGTGGGGCACGGAGGGAGAGGATCCGGAGAGAGCAGAAAATGAGCCGGGCATTTGTTGAGCGCCTACTGTGTGCCTGCCTTAGGCGTCTCTTGTTTAATCCTCCCGATAACCCTGTGATACATGTACAATTACCAGCTCCAGGTTGCAATATGAAGTGTGCTCTGGCACGCAATAAATATTTGCAAGTGAATTAATTGAGCACCTACTGTGTGGCAGGCACTATGGTAAGCATTGGCTAGGTGGCATATCCAAAAAGTCACATGGCTGGTAAGTGGCAGACCCAGGACTCGAACCCAAGTCCATTTGACTCCAAAATCAGTGCTCTTCTCTCAGGGGTCCCTCCGAGTCACAGAAAAACTGTGCTGAGGCCTCAAAACCCAGCTCCAGGGGTCTGGGTAGGATCTCTGGCACAGCAGTGTCTGGCATGAGTCACAAGCAGGGTGGGAGCCTTCCTCTCACTCTGGCCGAACTTGGCTCCAGGCACCCTGCCTGGGCACCTAGCTACGTGCCTGGGCGGGTGCCAGAAAGCCTCATCTCACCTGATCCAGAGGCCCAGGCCTCCTGGCTCCCCACGTAAGGCTGTAACCTTCCCAGTACTGCCCGGCTTCTCTAGGCCCAAGACCAGAGGGTCAGCCAGGGATTGCGGGGGCAAACTGAGGCACACCTGGCCCCCGAGCCGGCCCCACACACACGGGAAGGTGACCTCAGGCCTTGCGGCAGGTGCAGTCTCCAGGCAGAAGCAGGAGACCCTGCTGGGACCAGGCACTGCAAACCCCGGCCCTCAGTGACCTGCAGGCAGGGCGTGGGCCCCTCGGCGGGACTCAGCAGATGCGGTCACCCTCTGAGCACTAAACCCTAAATATCTTGTTTCCTGCCCCGTCACAGCTGCCCAGGGTGGGACTCACCAACTCACCTGTCACTCTGGCATCCCGGCCAGTCCCTTGCTCACCTTAGCACCGGTGAACTCTGGGCCCTTTAAGCCATTGTTAGGACAGCGGCTATTCTGACCTCCTCATGGACGAGGTCAGCGAGTCCACCCCCTGTCTCTGTGCCAGATTGCCCATCACCTCCCCAGCGTCTCTGATTCGGGCTTTTTACGTGAGGCCTCCTGACATAGGCAGATTTCATGCTGGTGACTAATTAAGCTCATAAAGTTAGGCGGACCAGAAGACCTCGGGCCACTAGTTTGTGAGTTTTCTCCCAAGATCTCTGAGACCTTTTGCCTCTGAGACTCTGGGACTCCGAGTTGTTGGTTTGGGGCTTCCATACAGGAGCTCAGGGTCACTTCTCAGGCTGGGGAGTCCAGCGTGTGACCAGGGCACCCGGCAGGCGGACGCCGCCACCGCCACCGCCACCCGTGCTCTCGTCCCCCTCCCGCCTCTCACTTGGGGAAGCTGCTTCCGACGAGAATCCGGCCCAGGGGGTACTCCATGCCGCCCACCGAGACGGGCGGGCTGACGTCCAGGTTGCCGAAGGAGTCGAGGTTGGACGGGCCGGCGGACAGGATCTCCCGGGTCACGTATCCAAAGTCGGGACCCTAGGGAAGGCCCCACAAGGCCCCAAGAAGGAGGGGTCAGTCGGGACAGAAGAGAAGCTCTTGGAGTCAAGGGATCATGCCAGGGGCCTCCCACTCCCTGGCTCTTCGTGCCTGGAAAACCACTTCTACCTGGTTTTTGCAAGTCCCCGTGGGGCCCTGAACACCATGTAACTAAAGGAATAACTGCAAGGTAACTAGAAAATCCCAAAATGTTTGGAAATTAAGCAACACACATCTAAAGAAACCATGGGTCAAAACAGACAACAGGCCGGGTGCGTTGGCTCACCCCTGGAAATCCCAATGCTTTGGGAGTCTGAGGCAAAAGGATCATTTGAGGTCAGGAGTTTGAGACCAGCCTAGGCGAAATAGCGAGACTCCGTCTCTACAAAAATTTAAAAATTAGGTGGGCCTGGAGGCAGGCACCTGTAGTCCTAGCTCCTTGGGAGGCTGAGACAGGAGGTTACTTTGAGCCCAGGGAGTTGAGGTTGCAGCAACCTGTGACCTATGATCATGCCACTGTACTCCAACCTGGGCAACAGAGTGAAATCATGTTTCAAAAAAAAAAAAATCAAAGTGGAAACTAGACAATATTTTGAAGTGAAAGGTAATAAAAATACAGCACATTAAATCTCATGGGATGCTGTAAGGCTGCACAGTGAGGGTGGTCACCAGAACTCCAAACATGGATATTTATTAGGAAAAAGCTGAATCTTAGCTTCTATTTCAAGCTACAAAAAGAACAGCAAACTAAACCCAAAGAAAGCCCAAGCTGAGAAATGTGAAAATGAGAGCAGAAATTGTGAAAAAACCCCGACCCCTGCAGGCCTGGGTCTGGTTCCTCATCCGTAAAGAGAGAACAATCACAGCACTTATCCAAAGGAGTGCCCCATGGAATAAGTGAGAGGAACCACGGGAAACTGGGAGACAGTGCCTGGAACTCAACACTTGGTGGTGGGTGCTGCCACCGCCATCCTATGCACAAGAGACGGCCCAGAGGCTGGCACGTAGCAGGGGCTCAGAAAACATCTGATGCCTGAAGAGAGGCCCTGCCTCTTCAAAACAAGAGCCATGAGGGTTCACTAGGGGTGCATTCCCCCCAAAGACAGTTGGTCTCACCAGGGCTGACCATGTCGTTTTTTCCCCCGGGGAACTGGCCTCAGGGAAACTATGCTGTTCTGTCCCTCCCAGAAGGGGGGCAATTGGAGCGCCTATTTGCAGGTGGTTTGCATATCATTTGAATCTCCTGCCCACTGAGTTCCCAGTTTGCTCACATCCACCTGCTGGGACCTTGGCCCACCTCTTCCTGGTCTCTGGGTCCCAGAGGAGCAGGCCTGGATGAGACTCACCAGGGGTCCCTCTGTCACCGCCCCAGGGTCCCTCTGTTGTGCCTTGTCACATACCAGGAGCTTCTTATAGGGGAAATCCCTCAGGCCTCTGTTTCGGGGGGAGTCGAAGACCACGGGGAAGGATTTGTGAGGGGCCTCGATGTAGCCAAACTCCATCTCGTCCTGGGAGGGGAGAGACGAGAAAGCCAGGAACCGCCTCAGAGTGGCCTTCAGGCCGGGTGGTCCCCACCAGGCCTGGGGCAGGCAGGCCAGCGGATCCTCCCCAGGGCCTGGGGGACTAGGGGAGAGACGGGGCGAGGCTTCCCGGGACCCTGGCCAGGAGAGGACTCTGGCCTGGACCCAGAGCACTGGGAAGGCTGGGGCTGAGGCGGGTGGCGGGGAAGCCTTCTCCCGAGAGTCCTGGCCCAGGTGGCCTGGCCCCTCCTGGGACCCTGAGGCCCGTTGGGGGCCTATGCAGACGCCCCAGCTGAGGCCTTCCCACTTCTTCCCAATTCTTTTCCGGAGCTACTTCTGCACCCACCTGGATCCAGCGGTCATTTCGATTCTCGACCCGAGGGCAGATGACCAGCTTGCACTTGGCCTTCAAAGCCAGGTAAGACATGTCCTCTATAAATTTATCGTTGGAGCCGTGAGCGTCCACCACACTGTCAAAGACAGGGAGGAGAGGTGCCCGCAGCCTGTGACTATGGCCTTGATTCAGCCGGTGCTGGGCCCTGAGCAGTCCCTGGGGTCCAGATACAGTCCCTGCCCTAGAGAACTCATGAAAAGACAGATAATGTCCCGATGGCATCAGGTGACGTGTGCAGCATGAGGGGTAAGCCCAGGTGGTAAGGCACAGAGGCAGGACACCAGGGGAAAGCAGGGAGGATGCCTAGACCAGGACGGGGGGATGTCTAGACCAGAGAGGAGGACTCCAGACCAGAGAGGGAGGACTCCTAGACCAGAGAGAGAGGATGCCAAGACCAGAGAAAGAGGACACACAGACTAGTGAGGGAGGATCCCTAAAGCAGAGAAGAAGGATTCCTAGATCAGAGAGGAGGACGCCTAGACCCGCGCAGGGAGGACACCTAGACCAGAGCAGAGAGGATGCCTAGACCGTGCGGAGAGTGCTGGATAGCTCGGAGGTGACCAGGGGACTCCTCTTGGGGAAGGTGGAAGTAAGAGGCCGCAGCCCATCCACTCCTGGCCCACACATGTGGCCTAAGAAAGGGTCAGGCAGGGTCAGAGAGCCGGCAGGCAGTGGGGGTTCCCTTCTGAATATCTGCACACACCAGGATCCAGGTAAGCAGAGCAAACCTGTTTGGCCACACCCTTCCTGGCCTTCCGACATGTGTCCGGCTCCCCTGTGGCCTTTTCCAATGGCCTGATCTCTGACACGGAGGCAGGTGGGGCCAACCAAGGCTTCCCCCTCCATCGCGGGCATGGCCAGGATCCCAGAATGGCACACCAGGGCCCTGGGCTGCACTGGGCTCACGGTCGGCCCCAGAGGTGGCACTCCCAGGCCCAGGAATGTACCATGTCACAGCAAGGCTGAGTGTCCCGCAGCCACCAGCAGCCTAGCAGGGCCTGGTCCCCCTGTCCAGACTAAATCCAGAATGTTCACAGGCTGCTGCACAGGACAGAACAGGGCAGGGATTACCAAACTTGAGCCGGTGAGGCCAGCCAGGGCCTTTGCCACCCAAGGGAGGTCCAGCTCTGCTATGCGCAAGCTGTATGATCACAGCTCAATGACTCAAGCTCCCTAAGCCTCAGTTCCTCATCTGTAAAACGGGCTAAGATGACATTTCTCATACAGCCAGTGTAAATTTTAAACTGGATAAAGAGATAATAGCACCCAGCACGAAGGTGGAGACAGCCTCCCGCTGCTGTCCTGTACCTCTGCCCCTATGGGTGTCCTCACTGAATCAGTGGGTCTGAGTGGCAGGCCAGTCCCTGGTGCCACCCTCTGTCCCTACCTCCACAAACCCAGAGCTGGTGGGAGGGCTGCAGGGGAGACAGGACCTCACCTGCACACATACAGCTCCTCGGGGGGCTGCGTGTTGGGCGTCATGATCCAGGGGGCCACGCGGAAGGTCACAGTGTCCGTGAAGAGGGTCACCTCGGGCAGGGCCTGTGGGAAGCACGAGGACTCGGTGGGCCCTGCAGGGACCCCCTTGCCTGCCCAAGCCCCACCCAGCCTCAAGATCCCCCCGCACACACTCCCAGCCTCCCAGCCCTGGAGTGGGCCCCCGAACCTCTCGGCTCCCAAGCCCACCCCTATGCTCCACACACCCTTCTGTCCACCAGGCTGACACTGAGGGAAACCAGCCCCAGGAAGTCGGCATCAGGGAAGGCGAGGCCCTCCACGTGGAACCAGATCTCCTGCTCCCCAGGCTGCCGCTCGACCTCATAGGAGGGGTGCCAGGGCCCCAGCACCTGCTTGTAGTCCGAGAGGGAACTCCCACCTGCGGAGAAGCAGAGTCAGGGGCCAGCGCCGGGACAGGGGAGAGATCCGCCCGGGGTTAGAGCCCCTTGGGTCCTCTCCAAGCTCTGCCACGCACATGCTGTGAGACCTCGGCTCAGTGACTCAACCTCTCTGAGCCTCAGTTCCTCATCTGTAAAATGGACTCCCATGACATTTCTCATGAGGCCAATGTAAACTTTAAACCAGACACAGAGCTAAAAAAACCGGGCACAAGCCATGTAAACAGCCCAAAGGTGCATCCCTGGATGGGCAGATCCACACGATGTGCAAAACGTAGTCTGTCCATGACATGGAATATTATAAACCCACGAAAGGGGACAGAGCACTGACTCAGGCGACACCACGGGCGAACCTTGAAGACATGATGCTAAGTGAAAGACACCGGCCGCAGAAGGCCACACATGGTCTGGCTCCCTAGGTATGAAGTATCCCGACAGCTAAGCCCGTGGCAAGGAGGTGAGTGGCCGCACACGGCAGGAAGGGCTGGCGGGGCACATAGCTTCTGCTGGTGTCACGCTAAGCATGTTCGAGCCGGGCCCTTGGCCAAAGATGCCACCACTGGTGCATGCGAAGGAACGTTCCGGCTCCTGCCGGGTTCTTGTAGCCGGAACGAGTTCCGGGCCTGTCTGAGCAGAGGGGGGCAGAGGGAAAGCGGGAAGGGACAGGAGAGACCCTGTCGCGACTTACAAAAACAAGCAAGGACACTTAGGGGTTAAGGACGGCTCTCTCTAAAGCCACAGACTTTGATGAGAAACTCTGGCAGGAGGGGGTCCTGAGGGTGGGGCGGGGCAGGGCCTGGGCCCTCGCCCCTCCCCGCTGCCTGGCAGGCAGTTCAGTCCATGTGGGCTGACCCGAGGAAGGACCGGGGCCGGGGACGGTGCACAGGGGGTGGCTGTGGTGCCCAAGACGCCTGGGCTGGAATGCCTGGCCCGCCCCAGCTGGTCGGGTGACAGTGAACGCCTGCGTCTGAGCCTGAGCTTTCCACTCTGCAAAATGGGGCTGGTGGTTGAGCCCCCTTCTTGGGAACTGTGTGGACACTGGCGGAGCCGCTGGTTGTCAAGGGCCAGGAGAGGAAAGATCCGGAGGGAGCAGAGGTGGAAGAGCCCTCCACCCGCCACAGGCCGCTCACCGCGAGCGCAGAAGACCGCGACTCTTCTGGAATCGGACGAGGGCAGGTTCAAGACCAGCTTGTGGCCGTCAAAGAGCGCGTCAGGGCCATTGCAGCTCAGCAGCATCAGGGACATGTCCTGCAGGTCTGGGGGAGCGGCCCCTTGAGACGGCCCTTCCCCCCGCCCACAGGGCGCCCGCCCATCTCCCGCCCACCTCTGACAGCACCCGTGTCCCTCACCGTCCAGCGCCATCAGCTGGCTGTTGGCGAGGTCGGGCCCCGTGGACCTCCGGTGGTCCCGGTCACAGTTCACGAGCAAGACAGCCCCGTAGCCCTCAGGGCCCCAGCGCCAGGTTTTCTGTGGTAAAACAATTAGCACTGGCATTGGTGGGACCTGGGAGGCTCTGGGAAGGGGGTCTGGACGTGGCCGGGGTGGTCACTTTCGTATTCTGGGTTGGCTTAAAATTCTAAAGAGGGATCACAGAATTGCAGAGCGGCGCACCAGGTAAGGCTCCAGACCCATCCTCGTGCAGTTCACAACCTGCACAACCACACACAAGGGCTCTGTCCAGCCATCACACTGGACGAGCAAGCATGTTGCTGCCACACCCCGAAATGGCCCTCCAGAGCCTGAGGGGGCAGAGGCTGCCCTGCTCAGACCCTGATGAGGGTTGGGGGGCTGGAGAATCTCTGGAAGACCCTCCTCATCCCAGCACTCTCCTGGGACCTGTCCCACAGATGTCCACCTGTGGTCCTGCAGGCCCTGCCAGCTGAGATCCAAGCCAGCAGGAAAGATGGCTGGAGCCCTGCCTGCCTCTGTGGCCGCCACTGTTCCTGACACACCTCCCATCAGACCCCCAAGGTAGGGCTCCCTGCCCCCATTTCACAAAAGAGGGCAGGGAAGTTCCAGGAGGTGAGCCCTGTGCCTCATAGCCAGCCTTCAAGCCCAGATCTTTGGGATTGCACAGGGCCACCGCTATGACACTCTTGTTCACCCCTCTGGGTCGATGCCACCCGCACCAGGGCCCCACACATGACTGGTATCATAGCTACCATCTTGCCCAGGCACTTCTTGTGCAGTGAACAGCCTGCACAGCCATCCATGGCAGCCCTGCCCACCTTGTCCTCAAAGCCTTATAATCCAGGCCGTCTCTGGGATATTTCCTTGCTAACTATATCTTCTACCCCTCCCAGGGGGTTTTCAGATACTTCCTGTGGGATAATGCCCTGAGCCCACATTCCTCCTCTTCACTTTTCCAGATTTAACTGGGGCTGACCACTGTAGCCTCTTCTCCCGGGAGATGTGTCTTCTCTTTGCCTCCATTCAGCCACTCAACCATCTTTTATGAAGAACCCACCATGCTCAGGAGTCCAAATACAGCCCTCAAAGTAAAAAAAGGCAGCGAGCAAAAGAACCAATCCCAGTTTCAAGGTGGCAAAAGAGAGACCCAGAGAGGGTAAGCTGTTTTGCCCATCGTCACACAGCATGTCGGTCACAGGGTGTAAGTTAATGCCCACTCGTGCCAATCTGGGCTCCCCACACTTCTAGATACCAGAGACCCTGGGAATCCATCACTCTTCAGGAGGGAGGGCTCACTCCACCCAGGAGCCTCCCCTCCCCGTGTCTGCAGGCTTGGGGTGGCTGGAAGGGTCTCACCTTGTCCCCGTGGTTCCTCTTCACCCTGCCTGTGCGGCCTGTGTCCACATCCAGGGAAACATCTGCAAAGGGAGGGAAGGGCTGCGAGGGGCTCGCCCGGCTGGTCTTCACCACCGTGATGTCTGGTTAGGCGGGCTGTGCACCCCCCGGAAGCCCACGAGGAGCCCCAACATCTGGGAGGCCCTCGCGGTGGCCCTGTGCTTCTGGGAGTGGGAGGGGTCCACGTCTTCTTCTCCACTTACATGCTGGTCTGTGCCTGTTGACCTGCCAGCTCTCGGGTGGCCTCGGCTTCTAGGTCTCATGCTAGTGGCCTTTAACTCTGGCAGCTGGGGTGAGCCCTGAACTTCCAGGGCTGCCCTGGTAGAAGGGACATGGGGCTCCCCACAGTTTACTGCCAGGACTTGGAGGTCCATGACTCTGGGTCTAGCTGTCAGGCCTGGGCAGGAATTTCCAGATGCTCAGGGCCCTGGGGGTTGCTGGGACCCTCCGTGGCCAGGGAACCCCCACGCCAAGGGATCCCTTAAGACCCTCAACAGCCAGCCCGGAGGGCCAAGGGACACGGCCAGCCGGGGAGGCGGCACTTACCGACCCCAGTGAGGTAGAGCTCGCTGTGGCCCAGGGCGCGGCCCTCCTGCTCCCCGAAGTAGGAGACCTTCACCTGCGGGGGCACAGGTAGCCCTGAGCCCACGCGGCCTCCCCCTTCAGAGACGGCGGTGGGGGAGAGGGGAATGGGGACACAACCCCCAGCCCCTCAGGGGAGGCGGGGAGACGCCCAGGTGCTGAAGTCCCAAGACTTATGGGCTCCCGCCTGGGACTAGGAGCTGTCTTCTCCAGCCGGAGGC